CACTGCCAATTTCAAGTAGTCCGGAAGCTCATCCCACCAGTCACTCAGATTCTTGGCTTGCTCCTGAACACAGTCAAAGAACTCCGAGTCCGTACTTTGGCGGATTGGGTCGTATATGTGGATTAGAATCTGGTTCAAGATTTCCGCCAGACCGCACATCTTCATGAAACATGACGTTGAATGCGCCTGTGTCGGCGGATAGTGAGCACCGTCAGTGAAGCTCACTCCATGAGGTGTCCATATTTCGATCTCAGCGGTGTCATCGAGAATCATGCGTGGCGGACTAACGCGAGAGTGCTGCATCGTCGGCGCCCGGCCGAAGTACAATGACACCACCTTATCCCAGAAATAACAACTCCAAAATAGACGGTTCCGTATTTCAATATCCTCGTCACTCAAATGAGCAGATCCTGAATATTTCCGGCTGTCGATGGAGATACCCAAGTCGTCCAGCAGCCGGAAGGCCATGCCACTGTATAGCCAAGCTTGAGTCCGATTTCCACGGCCGCATTCCTGGGCACTGAGAAGGAGTAATGTCTGAATGCTAGGGATGCCCGCATAACCAACTTTGAGGGAGCCGAACACCCCAGTCAATGCGCGATGGGAGAATTGTGCACCGCCGTCATAGGAGTCCAGCAGCGGACCGACCTGAGGCTCCGCTTTGCACCAGCGTACCGAGTGAGAAAGAATGGCATTCAATAAAACGTCCGAGTAATAAGCTCCATTGATTTTCATATCACCTATTGGGGGAGGTTAGTGTCATATGTTGTCTGAAATGACAAGGTCGAACAGACGTGTAAATGCAGGACGGTAGACAAAATTCCACAGCGGCTGGATCCAGCACCAATGCGAGTCGAGAAGATACTGGTAAGGCTCCTGCAGGAGTGTATCAGCATATGCATCCCTTGAACAATATAATCCACCAGGACCCATACCGGCATAGCAGCCATTTGCTCGAATGCTCTCTCTCGCCATGCGCTATTAACAAGCCGCTCTTTGCGCCCCTCCAGTTCCTCCGTGTAATGTGAAGTCGGCGTCGTTCCACTCACCAGCCCACTGGGTAGCTGGAACAAACTAGTCGGCCCGTGAAATGAGACGCGACCGTCATTTTCCACATTGAGACCCTCAAATGCCCGGGTGAGATCTTCAGCATCGGGATCGATCTTTATCCTCGGTCCGCTCGAGCTGGACTCAGCCGACGACGGCGATCTGGTCTTCCGCACCTCTTCTCCCTCACGGCTCTTCGATAAAGCATCCTCCAACTGCGCAACCCTAGCCTCAAGCTGTTTCGTGTACGATAAAGTCGGGGCTCTTTGAGAGAGACAAAAGTGTCAGCGACTGCGACGCGACAAGGGAATAGAATAAAGAGGAAGGGATCGACTCACAAGCTATACACACACTGCTCGCTACGCGCGGCGCATCGCGAACACGACGGACTAGCGCCGTTACATTTAACCTGGCGAGTAGTTAGCTCGGAAATCTCGGGTTTCGTCCGAGGGGATCCGCACGTACCTTGCGTTTGCGACAGGCCTCGCATGAGAAGGCGCTCTTCCGGGGGAGACGGGGTTTGGAAGGCTCTGCCATTCCCTATTTGGCGTTTTAAACTCCCAACTCGTGGATAGATACCCCTCAAAAGGTCAAAATGAAAACAGGAGAGAAGACTTTGGGCCCCTACGTGGGGCGCGGGGATAGCCTTTTTAGAAAATGAGATTTGACATAAATTGGGGTAGAAGACTTTGATTGGTGGAGGATTTGGAGATGAGGAGCTCCACGAGAGGTTATTTTTATATACCATAGCCCTAGGTAGTATGTTGTAGTTATGTTGTACTTGTACACTTAATAGCCAAGGCAATTATATATCAAGTGCTATTTGCATGGTATTCAATTGTACACACGATTCATACATCCCTTATTTCTTCCCTTTCTTGAAACCCGGCTTGCCCTTACCCTTGCCCTTCTTGGGATCCTTAGCAGACTCAGCATCACCCTTGCCCTTTTTCCACCCGATATTACCATCGTGTCTCATCTGCGCATCGTCAAGACGCTTCTTGTCCTTATTGCTAAGCTTGACATTGCTTCTCTTGGTATTGGGACCGTTCAATTCGACGGCACCCAGCTTGCGAGAAACCTTCTTGTCCTTCTCGGTCTCGAACCATGTCCGCTTCGGCCGCGACATGATCTCGTTTCCGTGCTTCATGAGGTTCTCGCCCTTGGTGAATTGCATCTCCGCTTGAGAGAACTGCTTCTCGGTCTTCTCCTCTTGCAAGATCTCGGCAACCTCGTCGGCCATATCCTCGGCCTTTTGCGCCCAGCTGTCGGCAACGGCTTGCTCGACCACACGACTGACGATCTTGGCGCCTTGGGCCTTGCCTGCGCGGACGGCAAGCTTGACGACCTTGCGGTCGGGCTCGGCGGCAATCGTGCACGCACGACCGGAGCGGCCGGCACGGGCTGTACGTCCAACACGATGCAGGTAGATCTCGTGGCTCTGGGGAGCCTCGTAGTTAATGACGGTCTCGACACCCTTGATATCGAGACCTCGAGATGCAACGTCGGTGGCGAGAAGGAAGGCAACCTTGCCATCTCGGAAGTTTTCGACGGATTTGATACGCTGCATGGGAGGTTAGAGGTAGGGTAGATATAGGACAAGAGTTGTTGTTACATACCTGTTCTTGGCTCAGACTACCGTGTAGTTCTGCTGCCTTCAAGCCCAATAGGCCGAAAATGATACGGACGCGGTGAGCTTCCTTCTTCTGTCGGAAGAAGATAATAACGCGCTTTGAGTAAGCTTCTTTGCACAGGTACAGAAGGTAACCGAGACGCTTGTCCTCCCGTCCGGGACGGAGACGCACGAACTCTTGAATAAGGGTGGATACAGTGTGCTTCTTGGCATCAACCATCAAGCGCATTGGGCGGTTCATACCAACACGAATAAGTTTGTCAATTGAGTCTGTCATCGTCGCGGAGAAGAGCATAGTCTGGCGAGATTTGGGAATCGTGGTGAGAATCTCGTTCAACTCATCGGCGAAACCATCCTCAAGCATACGATCGGCCTCATCAAGAACCAAAATCTCCAGGGTATCGACTGTGAAACTGGGCGAGTTGCGCATGTGATCAATGAAACGACCGGGAGTGGCAATGATGACATCGGGGCGCTTTTTGAGCACATTCTCCTGCTCGCGAAGACTGAAACCACCAACCAATTGACAGAATGTGACGTCTGTGAAAGTGGCCAGTTTGACGGAAACATTGTAACATTGAACAGCCAACTCACGAGTGGGCATCAGAATCACAACACGACTTGTAGGGACCTTTCGGGGACGGAAGAGGAGACGTTCGAGGATGGGAACAATGAAGGCAGCGGTCTTTCCTGAACCAGTCACCGCACTACCGACGATATCCTTGCCCAGCAGAGCAACGGGAATCGCCTTGCGTTGGATAGGAGTCGGGTCTGTAAATCCAACTGCGGCAAGACCTCGAAGGATGGGACGGGAAAGATTGAATTCTTGGAAAGTCATCTTGGCCATGTTGGCCTTGGTGTCGACCTTTTCTTCGGGGGCAAAGAACGCTTTGCGCTTCTCTGCTTCCTCCTCGTCCACCTCGCTCTCTACATCGGACTCTCGGTCTGAGCCCATGTCGTCGGGGTGACCGACGGGTGTGGCGACAGAGTCGTTATCAGATGCAGCATCGTCATCGGAATCCTCATTATCATCCTTGTCCTCATCGTCCTCCTCGTCTTCGTCCCCAGAGCCAGGCTCAGGGCCCTCGGCATCACTCTCATCCTCGCCATCCGCGCCCATGCCGAAGGCATCGTCAGCCATGAGCTCATCGTCGTTGAAGTCAACAGGCATTTCGTCGCCCGATGCAGCATCGTCTTCAGATGCGCTGGCGCTCCCTTCCTTCTCGACAGCGTTCTTTTTCTGTTTCTTAGCAGCAGCCTCATCCTTCTTGGCCTGCCTCCGCTCAATGATATCGTCAATATCGACAGCTTTCTTGTCGCCGGAACGCTTCTTCTCGTTGTCATCAATACCCCAACCATCGAAGCCTTCAGTGACACCCTGGTTCGCGACACCGCCGACATCGAACTCGAACTCGGGGTTTAAGACGCCGTCATCTTCTGTTGCATCCGCTGCCGCATCATCGTCTTCCCCTTCGGACTCGGGTTCAGCTGCGGGCTCGGCATTCTTCTTATTCTTCTTGGAGTTTTTCAATTGCAGCTTTTCCTGCTGCTTCTGCTTCTTGTTCTTTGGCTTGACTGCTTCGACCTCGCGCTTGCGCTTTTTGTTATCTGTTGCCGGCGCATTATCGTCCTGCATCTCGTTGTCGTCATCTTCTTCTTCGACAGGGGGTTCGTTCTCGTCGTCGGAAAGCGTGAATACGAAATCATCGTCTTTGGCGGAACTCCGCTTCGCCGATTGAGGAGCCATTTTGGGGGCTGGCGCGAATTCCAGTGAAGTTTTGGTAGCTGGATGCCTTCCACACTCTCTCAAACAGTCTTAATAGAAAATTCTAGACCCCCAAACACTGTGCAAGCAACTCAATCTCGCCGAGAAGAAATGGATCAACATGCAAAAAAAAAGTTCCCCGGGCGGTGACAAGAAAATTTCAGATGACATAATCAACCGCTTTGAGATGATTGTCACCGGCACTACTCCACGGCTGCCTAGTTGATGTTCTATCCCATTACTACAAGCCTATTAAGAAAGAAAGAATCAATAAAGGCATACTGTTTCAATCAACTGCTACCTAAGTAGGCATTCCTCCTTGCTCATTATTCCCCCCGTATGCCCTTTCCACATCGATCTTGTTTTTTTGGTGAGACATCCCAAAGATTCTGGACACAGATTCATCTGTCTCTCATTTATCTCATTTTCTTCTCCGATTTTTCTGTTTCTGTTTCTGTTTCTGTTTCTCTTTTCCTTCCAGACTGTCGTTCTCTCCCTGTCGCCAAATCTCCCGAAGATGATCTCCGTCCATATTCTCGTTCATTCGCAGGCTCATCAGAGGTAGTTGAGTATCGCATGGGTAGCACTATCCTGGGGCTGGACTTGAGCCTGGGGTCGGTTATTGGTCACATGTGTGGCCTTGAGGCGACGGGCCATGTAAGTAAGGTCGAAACTAAGAATAGGCGTCAGTAAATGCACCAAGCTGAAAGTGAAAACACAAGATAAGACCCACCCATTGCCACTCTCCACCCTCGCATTCTCGAGTGCGCCCTTGTCCTTAAAGCCAAAGTCCCTCTCCAACCACTTCTTGATCCAGGCATTCTCCTCAGCTTCCGCAGACGTTGCAATGGCGCAAACCATTGATGTGAGGGGGTGGCCATAACCCTCACCATACTGCACTGTGCCGGTTTGGTCAAACTCATAATCGGTGCTTTGCTTATAGGTCCCATCAAAGCAAGAGAGGACCATATCGACCAGTGCCCGTCCGATGTGCTGATTCTTGTTGCCCTTTTGGACGAAGACATGCAGTTCACCCATGTGCTTGTCAGCACTATTGCCGTGCTGATGGAATTCGACATAGGCGTAGCCAACCACAGGGTCAATCTGGTTGCGGCACAAGCGTACCGGCGGACGTCGGGCAGCCACAACGAAGGGGAGATTGTTATCCCGGCAAAATTGAAGGAGCTCCTCAAACTCATTCGCCTCCATAGACTGGAGTTTGCTACCCAAAGCTGAGTTTTGTGCATACCACTTCATGATTTCAAGGATAGAAGAAGTATCATACTGTTCTGCAGGGCGCAGATAGATGCCGGGTGGAACGACCTTTGAATCTGGTGGTAGTGCTAGCCAGGCGCGGTGAGCCGCAGTGCGACGCAGGTGCTCTTGTTGTTCCTGCTCTTTCTTTATTCGTCTTTGGTTGACCTTTCCCAGGTTGTAGACATAGCCTTCCGATGTCTCGTGCCAATGAAGGCGTGTCTGCTCGTCTTTCATGTTCCTGGGGGTGGGGATATGCTTGATGTCAGGCAGAATCATAGAATGCTGCCCATCGGGCATCGCGGTTCCGTCAAAGAAGGCAACATGAAAGATATCAACCCGGCTTCCTGCCGGAAGCTGATTCCACCAGCTGCGAAACTGCTCTCTGACGCTCGCGTTAGGAAGATCAAACGATGAAATCCTGTGTTTGAGTTCTCGCCACTGATTATCTGCTTCTTGGATGTCCCAAGTGCAATCATCAGGAAGAGTTCGATCAGGCTCATAAACAGCTTCGTTGCATTCTGATGTGAGCGTGAGGATTCCACCCTGGACAATTGGGAAGATACGGCGGGATTTTGCGTATGCCTTGGCTTGAATTTTCTGTCGGACATTACGCTGGGTCCGAATGTCCACATTGTTGGACGATTTGGCCTTCTTTTCGATTTCTCCAAGTTCATCATTAGGAATGAACTCGGGTGGGTCAGCTGCCCATGGCTCAGGTTCCTCAACACCTTCGGCATTCCTGGGCTTTGCGAGCGACTTATAGACACTGCTGCTCAGATCGGCCCCAGGTCCATCCCTCGCTGCGGGAAGCATCTCAGGGCAAGAGTGACTGTCGTTGTCCATGCCGAAGAGAGGCTGCTGCACAGGCATCCTCTTTCTCCTGCGTTTGTCAAACTGTTTGGACAAATCCCAAGTCTGTGCCCAGCTCAGATTGTCTAAGCTCTGTATCAGCTTGTTTCTCCCCGTCTCATCCATGGACTCAAAAGCCTCAAGCATGGCTGAACTAGAGGTATTTGAGAGCACTGTCGATTTTGGCTTGTTGGGTTTCTCAGGCGACTTCCGAGAGGCAGCATTCCTATCCCGGAATGGCATAGATATTTCAACCTCCTCTGCCATATCGATTTGAATAAGAGTTTCTGGTAGATTTTGAGTCAGCCGGGATTCTAGAACATCACTCATACCGCTTCTTTGGTTTGTTCGGCACGTGTGTCACCTGGGGGTGGCATTGTGTTTGTTACTCAAAGAGTGCGGCATAAAATGTTCGGTAGCAAGCGTACCTGAATAATGTGATGTACTGTAGTCACGAGACTGACTGCAGAGCACGTTCTGTGTTGCGAATATGCTGACTGAGAAGAATAAATGATTGAAGTGATGAAAGGCGGAGAGGCAGGCGGAGAGGCAGGCGGAGAGATGAAGATGGGAGGATGAGAGTGGAATAGGCGAAGAAGGAGAGTGAGGGAGAGGGAGGAGGGAGGGGGTGGTTATTGCGGCAGCTCGTCCATGAAATGCCAGACACTTTGGGCAATATCAAGCATGTCGCTGTGTGACATGACGAAATCTGTTTCGCTGTTCCTCTTCGCGCGGAGGTAACATTCCTGGAATGGAATCTGGATCGATCCCGAAATTTGATGGTTTTGAGAATCGTGATTTCGGTTTCGAACGATCCACATCTTTTGAACGGGCTTGACGGAATTCCTGTCCACTGCCCATTTTTCAATGGTGATAGTCCCCCTCTCAGTGGTTCTTATAGTCAACATGACTTGGACTTGCTGGTTTGACTCATGGAGCCAGAACGAAGCATCTTCCTTCAATTTCTTGAGTGTTTCAGACCACCCTGCCTCCACAACCACCGTTGGCCATTTTACATCTCTGTTAGGTTGGTAACCTGCAGGCTTCCAGCTACAATCTGGTTTCTTCACCCTTGTGGTCCCCTGGACGTCACCCCCGCTTTGTACCAGACGATTCTCCTGGGCCCTATGCCAAGAAGCAAATATTTCAGAGAAAGTACCCCATGAGGTCTGGTGTATAGAAGAAACCGTCACCCTGAGGATCAGAGTTTGGGAGGAGAAGTAATAAGTCAAGAATGCTTTTTGAAGTAGCCTGTCTGCAAACTCATTGAAATCTTCCCGGAAGGCACGCCTATCTAAGTGATCAAATATAATATATGATGACTGGCCTTCCCTATAACGCTTTGATTCAAGTTCAAGGCATCTAAGACATTGTTCAACATCTTGATACCTGTATCTTGGGGTTGTAGCAGGAAGGCCTTCTTTTCTTAAGATATCTTCAGCCATGATGGTTGCGGAGCGAAGCGAAGCTATAAATCCGTAGTTAGTTGTTGAAATTGATGGGAGCGATGGAATATATGGCAATCGTGGAAGCATGACGGTCAATGACGTGATTAGGAAACGTAGCCCTAGAGGTAGATTGCCAGGTAGTATACAAGACCTCTACAATTGTATCAACTTGCCTACCATATAAAGATCCTTGAAAAACTAGTACAAAAGACACCAAAAAAGACATACAATGGTTATGAACCATGTGATATACAACTTAGGGATACCATACCAATTACGGTAGACCTAAAGTAGTCGCTTGTGATATGTGGCGGTCTCGCATCAAGATCTGACATCCCTTCAAAGTGGTCTTTACCAATGGCTACCGAAAATACCTGTTCAGGGTGTAGCTGGTCCCCAACACGTCAAGACGCAGGTCCGATACAGTGCCTACTGAGAATCAAAACCATCAAATATAGGGGGAAATACACCAGCATGATATTCAGATAAATATATTTAAATATAAAGTCACGTTGTAGTAACGGGAAGGAATATAATATCGGCCGATCCATAGACACGTCAAACCCCATCTTGAGCCTGGCAAGATTTTTCCCTTTCCAACACTCCCAAAAAAACACTCTGCGGGATATTTTCGCAGCCATGTTGTCCATACTTCGAAAAGCCCGCCTAAAGGATAAAGAAATGCGGATATTGATGCTGTATGAACTCTGATCGGGTCGTTCAGGCCGAGATGCTAATGATTGCAGGGGTCTTGATAATGCCGGCAAGACAACCATCGTCAAGCGAATTATGAAAGAGGATGTTACGACGGTTAGCCCGACTCTAGGATTTATCATCAAGACAATTGACTTTATGGGGTAATTTCAATCTTGTTAATATCGCGAGCTATGCTAACTCGGCGCAGATACAAACTCAACATATGTGAGCTTACCCAGTCTCTGGTGGGGACTGCGTACTGACAACACTAGGGGATGTTGGAGGACAAAAAACCCTCCGATCATACTGGAAAAACTATTTTGAAAAGACAGACACGCTAGTATGGGTTGTCGATGCCACAGATCGACTCCGGGTTGACGATTGTCGACAGGAGCTCTCGGGTCTGCTTCTTGAAGAGGTACGGATGACGTTTCCACCCCCAACCCGCAAATCTTAAGAGTGTCAACTGAACCCATTCTACCAGCGCCTTACGGGAGCTAGTCTATTGGTATTCTTGAATAAGACAGATGTGGAACATTGCATGGGCGAGCAGGAGGTTCGAGAAGTAGGTCTAAGTTCCTCCTTTGAATTTCATGCCGTTTGCCGGAGGCTAATGTCTCTGCAGCGTCTCAAATTGGATTCAATCAAAACACACAAGTGGACTATCTTGCCATGCAGTGCAATGACGGGCATGAATTTGAATGAAGGTCTAGAATGGGTGGTACAAGATGCCAAGGACCGACTGTTCCTTTACTAGTGAGCAGGGGAAATCGGCGTGTTTTCTCTTGATATCCACGCTTATAAGATATCTAATAGTTATTTTAAGTGATCTTGTTAAGTTTTTAGATTGATCTATTCATATATCTGGCCAACCCGTGTTGTTTCCCCTGTTATATCTGAACTAACGTTCGGTCGTATTCTAAAAATCTCCAATGCGGTGCATTTTATGTTCTAAAGGAATAGCCTAGTACATGTTAAGTTGTAAAAGAACCAGGCTGCCTATATCCGATAGACTAGAGTTAAAGAATAGAAAGACAGAGTTGAACAGTAACAAGTGTCTCCTTTCATGGACTCTGTACGGAGCGCGGAGTACAACCTAACGTTATGCAAGGCACAAACTGATATATATAACCATACCAAAATAGCCACATATGACCCAACTGTGACCCAACCATGACCCAACTTATCCCTTTAACCCCTGAAAAGAAGAAAACCAAAAAGAACCAGGGAAAAACGAGGGAAAAGCCATGGAAAGAGAAAACTGCGGGGCCCAATCGCTCCACATAAATAATGAGAGTAAACAAACTCCTATGTGTGACGGATTCAGGTTTGGTCGGTATAGACGCATCTATCCATGTCTATAGTCTAGAAAAAATAATAGGATTATAGCAAAACAACAGGATAAATAGATTGAAAAGATCCATGAAAAAGTGATGTGTGAGCCAATGAATTGGTTGATCATCGCCAGTCCCGATTTAATTTAAACAGGGCGGAGAACACAGCCTTTCTTCCACTCTACAACTCTTCCCCCCTCATTTGTTTCGTTTGAGGAGGCGTGCATGAACGCCGAGAGTCTTACATCATGGCTGCTCCCACCGAGAGTTCCGAGGATGTCAATGATTTCCTTGAGCGCATCCGGGAACTAGGCGACCGCCGTGACAAGGAAGACGACGAGCGGACCAAGAAACTAGAGGAGGAGATCCTGCAGGGCCGGAAGGAAAGGCAAGCCCGGAGAGCTGGTATATACTCCTTCCCTTGATGCAGGCAATTTCTGCACTGTCACGGCATCTGCTGCAGGTCAACAATGTGCTGATATCTGGATGACTCAAAAAAACAGAGCGTGCACGATCACTCGCCCTCACCGACGATTCATCCACCCTCAATATCGCACGAATGAGCACTTCATCTATCAGCACCCGGTCGATCGACCCTCCGGAACTCCTTGAGCCAACGCTGAAAACACCGCAAACCCCAGGACCCGAGCCACCAATCCCGAGCGTGGATTCGAGTCAAGACATGGAGCCCTCCGATGCCGACAAGCGGCGGGGATCAATCCCGGATCTCGGATTGGATCTCGGATTAGATTCTCCCTCGCGGACACGACTACCCATGTCTCGCAACCGCGCAGGGACTTTGTCATGGCAGCAACGCCCCTCCTCACGGGACTTCGGCATGTCACCCGCTTCAACATCCCCAACTCGCTCCCCAACTCGTGCAAGCCACCTGAGAAATTTGTCTACGGCATCGGATGAGAATACACTGTCTAAACTCCAATTCGGATTCCCGCAGCCCAGGAAGGATGCCCCTGTGCTCCCTCCATCACCGGACCGCGGGGCTGAGTCGACAGTACACAGTGAGAAAGAGGAACAGATGGATAGCCAAACAGACGTGATTGTGGAGCATCAAGAGCCCGAGGTGGTCGAAGACCCAAATACCGAACTAGATCAACAGGAAGCAGTAGAAGAGACATCATCGTCGCCCCCGAGGACTGGTTCTCGCGATAGCAACATGAGCCATCGCTTCTCTGTATCGTCGGTTTCGGCCACTGGACTGGGGTCGCCAGTGCACCTGTCAGAGACTCCGAAGCTCGAGCCTCGACAGAATGATTCCTCGTTGGAGGAGTCCATGTCGCCGTCTCCTACCCAGCGGCGGATGTCACCAGAGCGAACACGGTCGACCTCACCCACCAAGGGCCTGGGAGGCTTTGTTCAGAGTGCTATGATGAGAAGATCAGATAGTGTGTCAAAAAGGTGGAGTGCACAAACTCCACAGGGGCTTGGGCGGTCAAATTCCATTGTGTCAAACCGCAGCAGTGTGGCTGGTCCAAGTTTGAGTGAAATGACCCCTCCAACTCTTGGACGAATCAATCGTGACCCTTCAACTCTCCTACAACGACCAGGCTCCAGCCACAGCGAGGCAGCCACCGAGACACCCGAACGACCAACCACAGCGGATAAAGACAGTGTGAATTTTGACAGCCCAGGAAAATCATTCCGACCTGGTCACTCTCGCTCTGCTAGCTCTGCCACCGCAGAAGGCAGTGAATCTCAAGGTCCGTTTGTCTCGAAAACAATGGACCCCAGGCGCTGGAGCCCCAACAAGGCTTCTTGGTTGGAGAGTGCCCTCAACCGACCCGAGCTACCACGACAAACCAGCAGACCCCCCTCGCAGCCCAACTGGGCCAAAGACCGACAGTCGAAAGGTAGCGTGGATTTGGGACGAGTCAACAATTTCAAGGAAGTTACCCCTCTCGGTTTGATGCGAACACCCCCGCCAGGAACTCATACAAAACTACCTGGTCTCTCTGTTCCATCGCTTCCTACAAGCCCTATCAAAGATGGTGTTCCAGAGTCTCCAATAGGATTCCCTCTGAAGAAGATTGGTATCCCTGGTCCATCGGTTCCTACGACCCCTATCAAGGATCCTGAGTCTCCTATAGGATTCCCTCTGAAGAAAGTTGGTGTCTCAGGCTCGTCTCTTCACAGGAACTCCGTCTCAGATCCTCCCTCGGAATTCCCTTTCAAGAAATCCGGCACCCCTGGAGGGTCAGTCAGTGGAAGCCCCGAAGGCAAGCTCAGAGATGCAGTACCCGAGTCTCCCTTGGGATTCCCTCTCAAGAAGCCCCTCAGTGCGGGTTCGTCACTCCACAGGGACTCTGTCTCAGAGACCCCGGTGGATTTCCCACTCAAGAGACCTGGGACCGCTGGAGGGTCAGTTAGTGGAAGTCCTGAAGGCAAGCTCAAAGACACCGCACCCGAGTCTCCCTTGGGATTCCCTCTCAAGAAGCCCCTCAGTGCGGGTTCATCACTTCATAGGAACTCCATCTCAGATCCTCCCTCGGAATTCCCACTCAAGAGGCCCAGTGTCTCTGGTCACTCAGTTTCTGGAAGCATTGCTACCGTTCCTGAATCTCCGTCGGAGTTTTCATCCAAGAAACCCAGTATTTCTGGTTCCACAATCCCCGGAACCCCCGATGGCAAATCGAAGGAGATAGTTCCACAATCTCCGTCAGTTCTCGGTGGCCCTGACGCTGGACAAACAGAAGAGGAAACCCCAGCTTCTCCATCGCCTGTCGAGGAATCTCTCAATGCCCTATCAAGCGACGCACCAGCGGAGGAACCCAAGTCTACTTCTCCCGTTGAAACGGAGAATGATTCGCAAGAACTACCTGCATCTGAAGAGTCCGAGCCTCAATCTACTCCCACTCGCAGGGACCCTCCCGACTCTTTGAGCCCCAAACCAAACTTTTCCATCTCTACTTCTTCGCGGGTGCCCATTTCACCCATGGTGAAGCCACAGTCTCCCGTGCTGGACTTCCGAGCAAACCTGCGAAAACGAGAAGTCGTCAAAGACAACGGAGAGGACAAAGAACCAGAATTTAAAAATGTATTTGGACGCCTCAAAAAGATTGAACCTCGCAGCTACGTTCCTCCTGATGCGCTCAAGGGCAATATCCTACTAGGCAAAGCTGCGCTGAATAACACCGGCGGACCAAAGAAGACCGAGCGAGTTGATGAATTTAGGAAGAGCCTTGTGGTACGCAAAGATGAAATGAAAGCCGGCGGGGGCTCCATCAGACGGAATACTGCTGGAGAGCAGGATGCGCCACCAAGACAAACTGAGTTCGTACCAGAAGCAATTACTATGCGACAAAATATGACCCGGGCAAACAGCATCAAGCAGCCACTTGTGGGTGAGCCGGTATCGCCTACTAAAAGCTTTGCTTCTCGAATTTCGCAGGACAGACCATTGTCGTCCCCGAAGTCATCTATCAAAGGCATCGGTTCATCGCGAGCTTCCCAGGAACAACAACCATTGTCGCCATATGCTGCCGATGATGAGCCGACATCGCCTGCTAAAAGCTTTGCTTCTCGTGCTTCGGACAAAGCATTGTCCTCCCCGAATTCATCTTTCAAAGGAATCGTTTCATCGAGAGCTTCTCAGGATCAACAACCATTGTCGCCATATGCTGCCAATGACGAGCCGACATCGCCTGCTAAAAGCTTTGCTTCTCGTGCTTCGGACAAACCATTGTCGTCCCCTAATTCATCTTTCAAGGGAATCGTTTCATCGAGAGCTTCTCGGGAACAACAACCATTGTCGCCATTCCCTGCTAATGATGAGCCGGGCTGGCCCTTGAAAGACACCAGTTCCTCGCGTACATCTCAACAATCACAGCCGTTCTCACCGTTCCCTGCCGATGATCCCAGCGATGAGCCAGAGGAGACAATCCCCGCGGCGAGCGACTACAAGCAAACCCCCGAGGTGGTATCTTCAGTGAAACAGGAGGAAACCCCCAAAGCCGTTACACCAATTGAGCATAGCATGGTGAAGATGCAGGAACCCTCAGTCAGGACACTCCGCCCAGTTCGTCAATGGCCACCGGCACCTGTTGCAGAGGCTACTGTGACTCCAACTCTAGCACCTAAAAGCAAATTGGCGGGCCGAATCAACCCTGCGCTAGCTGGCCTACTTTCTCGTGGCGCGCCTGCCGGTGACGGACCGAAGAAGCAACTGGCAACCCCTGTCTCAGCGCCGAGTAACCCTGCCTCGCCATCTGCGCCTCTCACGCACGTCACAAAGGGTCGTGCCAGAGGCCCGAAGAGACGACTTCCCCAGACAATTGATGTCTCGACCCCGCCCGCTCGGAATGCTATTAAGGAGGTTGGTGCTATTTCCTCTGAAGCCACCCCGCCAGAGACTCCTACAATCCCTGTTGAGTCCTTGGACATCGATTCGGAGTACCTGTCGCAGTCTGATGAAGACCCAGTTCCTGACATCAAAACCCCCCGTGCAGACAGCGCAGTCACCGAGCAATTTCCGGAGGTAAACACTCCTCCCCAGGATACCCTCAAACGTGATACGCCCACACCCGAAAGTAATTTCCAGCGCGCTCTTCAGACCCCTTCCCTAACAACGAATTTCGACATGTTTCCCTCCGCCAATCTTGAGGCGACACCCAGGGACCCCGAAAGCCCTGGAGAGGTGAGTCCATCTAGCGGACCACCCGTCCCGCCGAAGTTTGATTCTCCCGTCTCCCCCTTGCCTGTAACGACAAAGACACAATGGGGCCAGCAAAACCGGTTTACGTCCTCATCACCGTACGCTCTCCTAACAAGCCAGAAAGTGAACCAAATAGAATCACCTATGAGTCAGGAGAAGAGCATCCCCGATGTTACCGTCGAGTCATCACGCAGTTCCGTCTCACGGCCCATGAGCCATCCCTCCCCGCCAGTACCTCCTAAAGACGATGATGTTATGCTCCATAAGCCACCCAATCCGCGCAGACTTTCAAGAAAGATGTCCGCTCCATCACTAGTGGCGCAAGCTAGTGAGGCACGTGAGGTAATTGCGGGCTTCTTCAAGACAATCCCTAACGCTCGAAACCGCATGGACATTGATCCCCAGCTGATGGTAATGCGTAAGCCGGATGATGTTAAGATCAGGACCGTGAAGCTACATATCTGGGAGCTCACAGGTGATGGGAGGCGTCAGGAACTTCCTTCCCACCTGGAGTACATCCTATACCAAGGCAGCATGTATCTCTGCGTGCATATATTCGAGACCGAACGAGGCAACGTTTCGGAAGTATACCTTTGGCGTGGAGACGATGTCCCCGACGCCTCGGTGGATAATGAACAGCCGTTCGCACGCAAAGTCGCTCGTGAAAATAGCTCCAAGTTGCAAATCATTCGACAAGGCAATGAGCCCAGGCGGTTCATCCAAGCGCTTGGTGGCATTATGATCACGCGTCGGGGATCCAGCTCCCGCCACAATTCATCGGCTCTCTACATGCTTTGTGGCCGGAAACACTTGGGCGAGATGACCTTCGATGAAGTAGATTACTCGCTGCGCAATCTCTGCTCTGGTTTCCCTTACGTTGTCTCTGCTCCGTTTGGCAAGCTCTACCTATGGAAGGGCAAAGGCAGTGGCCCTGAAGAGACCGGTGCAGCCCGACTTATCGGCATGGACCTAGGTCTGACTGGAGAGTTCGAAGAAGTCACCGAGGGTGAAGAGCCCGACGATTTCTTCGATGTCTTCGCAGGGCCCAGAGAGGCCGCACCGCACATGTGCCAGGATTACTGGAAGCTCAAGCCGAAGTACAACCACTTCGGCATGCGACTCCTCCGCGTCGACCACGAAGTGAACCCGCCAACTCGTTTCTGGAATATCCGCCGTCCGGGCGCGGGTGCACCAGTGGTCAATGCCAACGATTGCGTTCAAGAAATCGAGCCATTCTGCTACCGAGACATCGTCGAGAAAGATGTTTACGTTCTGGACACCTTCTTTGAGATCTACGTGTAAGTACTACCGTACGACAATGCCCTCCACTTGACTGATGCTAATTCCCTCACAGTATTGTCGGTGAGCAAGCCTCACAGAAGTCTGCCGATTTCGCCTCGGCAGTGGTCTTCGCGCATGAATATGGTATTCTTGCCACATCCCTCCAGGACCGACCATTCATCCCCAAGAGTTACGTGGCCCTCGGCGGCATCCCCGACCGCTGCCAAAGCGCATTCCGCAAATGGAACCCACGTGCCCAGCATGCGCCTTTCGTGTTCTCTCTGGACGTTGTTATCGAGGCGATTCGATCACCAGAGGAGAATTGAGTGATATCTTGCGTTTTTTATCTGATTTTTGGGGGGGCTTCTGCTTTGAATTTGTGCATATTTCGGTTTTGTACAGACTTTACAGAGCATTTCGGAGTCCTGTGTACTTGTGCCATATTTGCGCCATGGAGGGAACTGGAGCATCTGGGGACTGTTGGGATGTAGATAGGGGGATTTCGCATTTGATGGTGTGTTTAGGCATTTTTAGCAATTCAAGTTTCATACCGAGGCTGCCTATTACCTAGGCTTTTCTTATTTTTGAAATTACATATACAACATAGAAATCAACACGTAAACATCTGATTAGTCGGATAATTTAGGATATTCAAGGTACAATCCCATGGATGAGATGGTTATGGACGGGAACGGAAAACCGATCGGAGATAAAAGAAAAATCATCCGATCTGGAATGTCGCCATCCTCGATCTTTCGATCGTTCGATCGGACTTGTGAATAATTCCTCCATTCTTACATTCGTCTCTTCCTCATGGCAATGTAAATATTCGAGTCATGGACCCCTCCATCCTTCGCGAGCTCTCGAAGCTCGACCCCGCGCTACCCTTCCGCGCATCGACCGATCATTTGCATCACACATGGGCCAAGACATTCTTTTCGCGCCCGGAGTTGTACATTCGCCCACAAACCATTCCCGAGATCCAACAGCTAGTGACTCTCGCCCGTCGCTGTCGTCGCCGCATCGTAACAGTCGGCAGCGGCCACTCGCCCTCCGATTTGACCTGCACCTCGTCCTGGCTCGTCAACCTCGACGACTTCAATCGCATCCTCCACGTTGACCCGTCAACCGGCTCGGTAACCGTCGAAGCGGGGATACGATTGCACGTGCTGGGAAGAGAACTGGACAAACATGGCTTGACACTCGAGAACCTCGGCAGCATCGACAGCCAGTCCATAGCAGGCGTCATCGCCACTGGCACCCACGGCAGTTCCCTTCGCCACGGCCTGGTGTCAGAATGCATCGACTCGCTCGGCCTGGTACTCGCCAATGGCCAGCACGTCCGCTGCAGCCCGACAAACAACCCAGACCTGTTCCGCGCGGGGCTGGTATCGCTCGGAGCGCTTGGGATCGTCGTCGAGGTCACCTTCAAGGCGGCGCCCACGTTCAAGATCGCTTGGCGCCAGGAGCGGTATTCGCTCGCTCGCGTGCTGGATGAATGGTCGACGGGTCTGTGGACATCGCGTGAGTTTGTGCGCGTGTGGTGGATGCCTTATGCGAAAGGCGCTGTTGTCTGGCGTGCTGATAAAACCGACCTCCCGCTGCGCGCTCCGCCGAAAACCTTCTACGGCGACTCGGTCGGCTACCACATCTACCATAACCTCCTCGCGCTGTCCTTGTACGTCCCGCGCATCCTGCCGTGGGTCGAATGGTTCGTCTTTGGTATGCAGTACGGCTTCCGGGCCGGGTCGGTCGTCACCGAGGCCGTTGAGCCCGCGCGCGAGGGATTGTTAATGAACTGTCTGTATTCGCAGTTCGTTAACGAATGGGCTCTCCCGCTGGAAAAGGGCCCCGAGGCCATCGGTAGGCTTTCCGCCTGGCTGCACGGCGACATGGAGACCGCGCGCATCCCCTTCTCATCCAAGGGACTGTACGTGCACTGTCCGATCGAAGTGCGAGTGTCTGACACCTCGCTGAACACCAAGCCCCGTCCATTCCTGGACCCGACGTGTCGCGACGGCCCGACGCTCTACCTCAACGCAACGCTTTATCGTCCCTACCTCCGCGACCCGCCGTGTAAAGAACGCTACTACGAAGCCTTCGAATGGCTGATGCGGGATATGGGTGGGAAGCCACACTGGGCGAAGAACTTCCACACAAACTCACACGAGCTGGTCGCCTCGTACGGGTCAGATATGGAGTCGTGGATTAAAGTGCGTTCGGAGGTCGATGCTGACGGGATGTTCGTGGGCGAATGGCATCGGCGTCACCTGCCCCTGGAACTCGGGCAGGGAAGCGCAGCACCTGCAGGCGAGCGGCTGCCCCTCCTCGAGCGCGAGCACGAACGTCGCAGGGTAGACATTAGTGGCGTCGGCGATGGCGTCGAATGGGTAGGGGATCGCCAATGGCAGGCTCAGGCTCAGCGACACCCTTTTGATGCGCTGGATATGGAGAAGAGCCTGTATCCATTACCGCCAGATCACTCTCCTAGTCCACCTGGGACGGCGAGCAGCGAGGAGAGCTTTGATTTGCTTGCCAGGGGTGAAGCGAGCATATTGCTCCCCGACGGACCGGGGGTGTGAGAGGAGAGAAATCAGGCTCCGGTCGAAAGCAAACAATCTCTTGTTTCCGGGTGTGCGAGTCCTGATTATTCCGTTGCTTTTGCATCTGCTGATCTATCGGTGATTGTTCTGACTGGTCCATTCCCGGGCTGTGTTGTGGCTTATTGGGGTGCTTATTGGCTCTACGGGCTAATTTGGTGATTATCCCCGTCACTTTCGTTTTTTTTCCTCTTTTTTCTTTTTCTTCTCCCCCTTTGTTCGAAGCAATTTGGGGATGATAAATTACAATTGGTTGGCAAATCTGACATTTGAGGATGTTCAGGCTTCGAATCCTCCAACTGTTTCCCCAAAAATGAGGGCTTTTTTTAGATCTCCTTCCTATATGGAACATATAGAGGGATATTACATATTGCATATTGCATATTCCCCTGCTTTTACCCTTGTTTTGCTTTTTTTCACCCCACCATTTTCCATTTGCCAAGGCTAAACCAGAGAAATTTTATGGCCTCGTGGTCTTTAACTTGAAATTGGAATCTGTCGGTGAACGAGTCTGCATGTTTGATGCAGGTGCCCATAAGCCTTTCGATAGGGCGAGGTTTGTCTGCTTTTTTGCTTTTGAAAATATGCATACAACATACAGCAGTCAATAGTTGTTCCATTCTTGTACACACCGTGGCCAATTTACGCAGAATAGATTATCTTGTTTCTATGGATCGGGGAGGAAAGAATCACACTGTGCTGTGTGTCCGTGTCTTGTCCTTGTCCCTTGTCCCCTGTTCCCTGTTCCCTGTCTTGTCACAGCTGAGAGACCTTGAGATAGTCCATGTATAGAAAACCCAACAAACCTATCTTACACATTGCACAGGTCTATACAGGTCCATTGATTTCATTGCATTCCACGGTCTAGACAACCGGCAAACCGGGGATTCAGGATTGATATTCTTCTGCTCGATATGAGGGGTGGGGGAAAGGAAGAGAGAGTACAGATGTACTTTATAGATCAGTGACACCCTGTATGGTATTGCAGCTCGAGCTGAGCACTGTGCTGCCTGGTATGTATACTTAGTATACCTCACACATTACACTGCCACCGTACAAACGAGAGATCAATGCAAAGATCTAGCCTAGACAACTGTTCAGATTAGGGCTGGATCTGATCATTGCACACTTGATTCTGTGCGAGAATGCAGGCAGTACCAGGGTAATATTGTACGAAGATAGAGGCATCAAGACAGAACAGCCCTAATCGGATACATAATCAGGGGAATATCACCCCGCTTTGTATCAGAAATACTCTTCTCTTGTCCATCAGCCTCTTTAACTCTTTTTCTTTCGGAGGCTGAGAGCCTAACAGTTGATTGTCGCTATCATGTTCGCATATTGGCATATTCTGGCATATCATGTTGTACCACGTTTCGGTGCAGCTGGCAAGGATGTCGATATGTCCGTTTCTTTTTTCACCGACTTCTTTTTATCTCGCATTGACCCCTCCATAGCTGCAGATTGACTAGGTAATTGATTGGATGTTTCTTCTCATCGCAAATGACTCGGAGTTGGCCTTTCTCATTCTCCAGGCACGTGTATTGGGGATCTCTCTCTGACGTGCAGTGTCAGCCTTCGAGGGGAAAATATCGTGTGACAAGGAACGTTACCTCTCTCTGTCGTTTCCTGCCCAATGACTAGGATCAAATCTCACGGACTCACGGCTGGGACTGTGTCATTGTACTGGTCTCTGGGTATCCTAAACAGTCGCCTAAATGTCTACGGTCTACCTGCTTGCCCTGGGATTCAAACCACATGTCACCACCCTCGTCACCCTCGAACGCTTTGAACAGCCTCTCCACGTCACGGCTTAGCTGCTGATGCGGGGGACGACGTCTCTGCACCTTTGATAATCATGATATCAACGTTTGGCGCTGGCGGCTGAATGCCGGTTTCATTATCATCCACCCCACCTGCTCGATTCTTTTCTTTTTCCTCTATTTTTCTTTTTTACTTGGGTCAAAGCTCTCTCTCCCTCTCTTCTCAATCTTGAGATCTTGCTCTTTCTTCTTCTTTCTTTCTCCACCCTTCCTCTTGCATTGCAATATCTACCTCCCTTGCTTGGTTTCCGGTGGAGTTTCCAATATGATACAATCCATGTCGTGGCAGCCAAAGCTTCGCCCCAAGGGTTTCCCGCATAGCATTGATGGCTTTGCTGCGGTGGCTTCGTTGTCGGAGCTGGAGCATCGGGCCCGGACTGAGGACAAGCGGGACCAACGCGTCTTCCGGGTCAAGCGTAAGCATGTTTTGAAAGCCTGTGATCGCTGTCGCGTGAAGAAGACCAAGGTATGTCGATATACTAGGAGACTGATATTTGACTAACCTTGTTAGTGTGATGGGAAGCAGCCTTGCAATCGCTGCTCGGTATACAACCACCCTTGTCTATTCCGTGAAAGAAAAGCCACTCAGACCAAAGTATACTCTCGAGGGTGAGTACATGCAGAGAATCTCAAGCCAGACATTTCCTCAAGCTCATAGACATACCACGCACAGATTCGTCGAAATGCTCGAATCCCACCATTCCCTAGTGGTAAAGGCCCTTCAGAAGCTCTATAAATTCTGCGTCAACAACGAAGGCTTCCCAGGCGATCCCCTCGCCGAAGCCCCAGACGGACACCCCCTAACACATGCAATCCTCGACCGTCTAGGGCTAATCAAACAAGCCGAAGAAAACGCCGACGAGCCAGACGAGGACTCTGAGGATCTGCGCTACCTACGACTGC